TTCTTAATTCTCATTCCTTTTCTCTCTCTCAAATGCTTTCAGGCGCATGCGTAAAGATAGACACACACACACAAGCTTAGTTAAGTATGACACGAAGCCACGAATGAGAAGCACCCAACGACAATTGAACTCACTGCAGTAGGGACGAATAACTTTGACCAGAAACGGCAACATGTCTCACATACACTCACACATATATGTATATGTGTGTCCCTTGTGTGCATGTGTACATAAAGGGATTAATTAAATAGAATCACACCTTGAATCTAACTTAATCTTATACTTTTATGTGAATGCATAATTCTGGATGTACACACACACAATTTATATAAGTGGTTTATACTGCAACTATGCCGAGCAGACCTTAGTTACAGTTTCTGGAGAGCGTGTTATCTAGCGTGATCAACAATCTGAACAAGGCCAGCACACTCAAACCCTCGGTCACGATGACTTATGACTTCGTGCTAGCACAGCACATCGACGGCTTCCAAGAGTTCCGTCTACCCAATTATACTCACAAGGCTTGGGTATAGTGGTATGATTTTCAGGCACTTTCCAAATTCTTGTGGTATGGTTTTCAGGCACTTTCTAAATTTGGGACTGCCCCCTCCAGGCCGATAACATCAGGAAGTCTACTTCCTGACAAATCAGCCGTGGTCACTGAGGTCAACAGCCAACGGCAATAGTCTGTTTCATGCTTAAACGTAACCTGCAATATATATATATATATATATATATATATATATATATATATATGCATATTTCTTGAATATCACCTGCTTACTTCTTGCCAGACTTTGAATTATGACACTTTGTGTCCTCCACAAAAATATCTTGAAATACTAAAGCGTAAATTTATTCAATAAAATCGCCATTGGCTTCAACCACGGCCTCCAGACCATTTCGGAACGGTCTCCTTTAATTTGGTGAATAGATTTGCTGCCATAATCCTTGCCTTCTGTTTATCTTTGGTGTTACAAGGAGTTTTGTTGGTCTCTCGCTCAAATGCGCTCCACACATAATAATCAAATGGGTTGCAGTCTGGGAAGTTAGGTGACCAAATGTAAAGGTTGATATGGTCAACTATTCTGGATCGTCCTGCTTGTGTGGCACAGTGCAGAGTCATATTGCCAGACATAGGATCTTCCGGCAGCCACCCTCTTGACTCAGAGCGGCATTACCTCCTTAAGGCACTTAATGTTGGCCTTCGTGTTGAGTCTGAGGCCCTGTGGGCAAATGAATGTAGGCATCACTAATGAATGTCGCCATCACTAATGATCACTCCAAACACCTTCGTAATCACCATTAGGCTCATCCAACTCTTTCTGAATTCTCTTCACTCTCCTCAGATTGACAACCAAACACTCTGAAATGTTCGTATTGGAGCTTCCGGTGAGAATGCCAAGCAGTACAGCATGTCGTTTCCAAATTTCTGGTGGAGTGAATTGCTTCATGGTGCGCTTTTTCTCATGGACAGTGCCCAACTCTCCCTACTATATTGTGCAATCGACAAAATATAATACAACGCGCATGCACAAAATTAAAATTATAAAATGGCGACATCTTACCCGATACACCCTATATATATATATATATATATATATATATATATATATATATATATAATATATCTCCTGTCAGCTTTCTTCCCTCCCATCCATGTGCATAAAATAGCATAAAATATCACCCGAACAATCAGATTCAAAAATACGTGCTAATGTTTAGAAAACGAAACAAAGATCCTATTTAGATTTGAAGAAAGAATTCTGCATAATAAAAATATTGCTCAAGTGCACCCCCACGCACACCACTGTGTATGCATGCATGTGTGTGCGTGCATGCATTGCAGTTTAATTTAAACGTACCAGGATATGATAAAATGTTCTCAACCTGACCACGAAGCCTTATTCCTCCACAAAAGAATCTGATATTTGTTTGAGAAACTTTTCAACACCTTTTGCGTGTCACGTAAAGACGACGACGTTGCGAGATAGCGTAACGGTTCTCAATGCTGAAAATGTGGTATTAGTAAACAGTGTTTGAATTCGGTTTGAGGCTGTTTACGTTCACTTAGTATTGACTAATATCCTTGAGAAAGTTTCGAATCCACATCCCTGCTCTCCGTCACAACGCTAGATATCTTGATAAAAATCTTTTATCTTTGGTAATACCACGACAGTTAGCGGAGAAGAGAATGTGTGAATAAAAACTTGCGCAAGCCACACCCTTAAGAAACTACCGCGGACACACAGTACTAATTCTAAAAAGCTGTTACATCATCATTAACCTTGACATGAGCCAACAGAAAAGAATCTGTCTGTCGGGGCAAATCATGACAATGTGAGAGCGAATGTGATTATTTTCATAAAAATTTCCTAGAAAAATGATAAGAGATTGCTTAGCACACGAAGGATATCACCACAATTCTCAAATTCTATATTTTGATTTCCCTATAAGGAATATCTTTAGTATGATAGAACAATCCCAAAAAGTCCTTCGATGTTTACATCTGTATATATATCATTTCCAAATAACTCTCTTTCAGCTCCCCTGTCAACAAAAATCTTCAAGCATTTAAATGCACCATCAATTGTTATCTTTTTATTGTCCTTTCTCCTCAGTAATGTTTTCTCAGTTTCCTTCAATTTCAATAATGCCTTGCGTCTTAATGACTTTATCGCCTTGCTTGGGGCGAAATGATTAAAATAAAGTTGTGTCTTGGAAAGAATAGTGTTAAGATGTAGCATACTTATTAAAAGATTTGATGTGCTGCGTCAGTCATGTTCTGAAGATCCCTTACAGCATGAAACTGACAGACACAATCCAGTGTTGATTCATATGTCCACGTTGCCTATATCTACAAAGGATTTATCTCCAATCTAAAAAATAAAGTTTTAAACAATATCTGCTAACGAGTGGGCGGAGTCATTGTTGGATGGTCCGTCTACAAAACTCTTGAGTCGGGATGCTGAAGGTAATAGCAATCAGCTAAATGACAAACTTTATATTTGTATTGATTATATATATATATATATATATATATATATATATATATATATATATATATATATATATATGTGTGTAAGCAAATATATGTATATAGATCCGACGGTATGAAGAAAAATATACGGAAAAAACAAAAATCCTAAAACAGCATAATTGCATATTAGGATTTTGTTTGTTTTTCGTATATTTTTCTTCATATATATATATATATATATATATAATTAATACAAAAGATTTGTTACTTAGCTGATTGATGGGGTATCAACAATTGACTGCTTATATTTTTATCCTTCTTTATGATTTATGTATATATATATATATATATATATATATATATATATATATATATATATATATATATATATATATATATATATATGTATGTATGTGTGTGTATATATGTGTTTATTTATGTATGTACATTCACATTTATTATTAAATTGATAACTACTCATGCGAACACATGTAAAATGATTTTTTCACGCATGCACACAAAGGTAATAAATAGTTTTACACTGATTTGACACTGATTGACATTTGTTCCATTTGCTATTAAAAAAAAACATCAGGGAAATAATTGTACAGTCATTTCACAAAAGTACGAGTGTGGAAATAGTTATATTTCGAAATGCTAAATGTGAAAGGGAAATAAACCAGTGTCAAATACCTTCAAAGTTGATTTTGATTTTAACCCAGAACGACATAATCGGATAATTCAATAATAAAAGAAAAAAAAACCCTGTATCTGGTTCAGGTCGACCTGATTCGATGAGAAACTAAAAAAAAAAAGATACGACAAAATATGTTCAACCGCCCCCCCCCAGAGCAGTCATAGGAAATTTTTCCTTAAGATAGATCATAATTATCAAATCATAAAATGAACCACTTAAATCAATCTCCGTTTACCAGAGGAAAACAGTAGGCAACTGGATAGGAGGAAAGAGCTTTTGGCACACATTACGTCATCATCTGTTTAATTTTCGAACAAACAATGTGTATGGGTTCCCTTCAGAAATTTTATTTCAACCCCTGCAACCCATTATCAAATTTAACAGATCTTTATGCAAGGAGAACAATTTAAACCGCTTGCCGTTCAACTCTTCTGAGATGTGTGGGGGAATATAAATTCAGAAAAAATATTCATCTATTCCCAATATCCTTAGATGAAAACTTTATAAAAATAACATCTTTTTCTTTTTTTTTTCTTTTTTGAGGATGGAACATATCGGTGCCATTCTGGACTGTGAAATAAGAAAAACGTCCAAAATCGACTGCAAAATATTAGCGTCGCATTTTGAACGCAGCTTGCACCTGATAAATTCACTGTCTGAAAAAGTAAAAAATGTTCAAAATCCGAAAGGCAAATTCATTAAATTTTAATTTTTATATTAACTTATTTTAAAAATTCCTTATGTCATTGAATAAAGGCTCTTGTAGGTAGGCAAATAGAAGTGCCTATTTACTTTTGGTATATCTCTTTATGTTGGCCGCATGCCGTAGAGAAATGATTAACAGACAAATCTCGTAGAACGTTCATTTAAATAGTGATTTCAATACTCGCTTAATGTCCATGACCGTGCAACAGGAAAAATAACTGTAAGATATATCTGTATATAATTTGGCACGTCGCAGTAGGATAGAGATTAATCTTGTACACCATTACTAGAATGCAGCGGGGGCGGGTAATGCACACTAGGCATCTTACTTTTGTAGGCTTGTACCAGTAAATGCTAAGCCCAGTAAATACATATATATGATAAATACACGTATTTCATAAATGTAGTGATCGCCAAGTATTTAAGAACACGCAATTAGTGGACCCTAAATGGAAGACGTAATGTTACGCGGCATGCGCCAAGTTTTTAACATTCTCGTTTCTTTCGGCCGTATCGAGAGCATTAACACAGTATTTTCTAAGCCGATATAGAAAATGAAAGGGGACACTGTATTCGTGGCACTGCCAACCACCACGACTCGGAAATAGCCGGCCTTAAGGCCATATCACGTTGAAACACCGGTTCTCATACAATCACCGAAGTTAAGCAACGTTGAACCTGGTCAGTACTCCAATGGGTGACCGCTTGAAAATACCAGGTGCTGTAAGCTTGGATGTGTGGGTGGTGTAATGGATAACGGCTCAGAATGAGAATTCGGAGAGCCGAGTTTGAATTCCACTCGGATTTGTTACATTCACTTACATGCAAATATCCTTGGGAAAGGTATGAATCCACCTATTCTCGTCCCAGTTATGAGTTAAATTGTAAGACTCGCTTCAGAAAATCATTATTATACCCCCCACCAAATTCTTATAATCCAACATATGTTTCGGTCTTAAATAACCTTAAAAAGGTTGATAAGGCGTAAAAAACAACTCAATCAATTAGAAATAGCAAATTTCTTGAAATAACGAGTTAGCAGGTATGTATAATTCGTGATAGAGCCCTTGTTAATTCAGTCCTGTACGTCCAGATCTCTTGCGTAGATACTGACGACCTGCTTTAGAGATAATACATTTTTTATAGATGGTGTAAAGTTTTCTGGTCTTCATATCTATTCTCTGCGCCTCTTCGAGTTTCTAATTCATGACATTAAAATAAAATGCAACAATAAGTATAGCTAAGTTTTTTTTTTAATAGTTTTAAACTTATTTCATGCATTTAGGTTAGTTTTATTTATCGCTCCTACACGTCTACAACATTCCTCCTCGGTTTTTCTTTTATTGCTTCAATTTGGATTTCTCGTCTTTCTTTGGTTCCAATATGTTAATACATTTCTTTCTGGCCCAGTTCATGAATTTCGTCTTCATTATCAAGTTTCATAGCTATTGTTTCTACAATTATCACTCTTTAAAGGAGCCTCAGCATATTTACCCCGGCTAAATTCTTAGGTGATAACGTCAATAAATTTTTTGCTAACAGTGTTCTAGTTTATTATCATTTTTGGCAGTTTCAAATCACATATGTAGAACAAGTGATTAATCAATTCATTAAATATATGATATCCCAAATATGTGTTATATTGATATTTGGTATTAATGTAATACAGAAAAATCGAAGGGATTGAAAGTGTATATCCTTGAAATATTCCACTATTGATCTGTAAATTATCACTATTTTATTTTTACCATTACTTTGTTGAGTATTAAAGTAGCATTCCATTTTTTCATACGTCTAGAAAATTAACATGGTTGATAGAAAATTAACATGGTTGAGTGACTTTATTAACGAATCTTACATGGTACTATCAAAGCTTTTAAATAGTCTATCCATGCATTACTTAGATTTTTACTTTTATGAATGGCAGTTTTCTAGCAACATCTTGTTGATCAGTAACATTAATATTTGCAATCGGAAGAATCTTTTTGGCTTATTTTTTATTCAAGAGTAATGTTATTAGATTCAAAGAAGTGATTCATTAGGAGTTCCAGTTCACACTCCTTCCCGGTCTTTTGAAAGGGGTAGAGGTTTAACCCGTGTTTCCTGTTTAGGATTGGTTTTCCGGTGCTTTTTTAAGTCTTCTCATCCTCTTTCAATTCAAGTAACCCCTTTGTGACTTAGTGGAATTATCGCTTTGGTTTGGATGAATTGATTAAAAAAAATTGAATCAATGTGTGCGTTTTGTATGCTATTAATAAACATGTGATAATTTGGGGTTTGGCAATATAACTAGTTTTGGAGATTAAATAAGTATCGCCTTTTGTTAATAATTCTTGGTTTTGTTCTGTGTTATTGATAGCAACAGAAAACAGATCTCTCGAAAGCATCGTGCATAGATGGAAAAGCATTTAACCAGTTTGATTACAAACAGGTGACGGAAGACTAAAAGATTAATAAGACTAAAAATATAGAATCGGTTTTGTTCAAATATTTGTGAATATGTCGCTTCTGATATTCTTGTGTTTCCAAGTAAACTAGACAAAGTTGACTGTATATTAATACCACAGGACTGTATATCATAGCATGCACATTTTTGCCGCAATAGCCGATATCCAACGATGGCTTAGCTGATGGTAGAGTTTTATAATTGGTTGACTTTATAATATAGACTTAAAGTTAATACCAAAAATAAAGATTGACTTGAAAGTCTAACCAAACTAGGTGTTGGGTGGTGTGCAACGAATTAAAAAAAATTTGCTTGGATTTGAAATCAAATCCATGATATTGATTTTTTTGTTTTGATTGAATTTTACTGATTATAAAAAAGGCGTTTTTAACATCGTTTCCTTCTTTCTTGCTTTTTAAGATCGGATTTCTTTACTCGGATACTGGATAAAAAGACAACAGTTCAATTTCAACTCTGCAATTGTTCCTCTGTTATTTCATAAGAATGTTACATTTTCTCTGCACAAATAAGGCTAATTTCAAATGGAAGAATTTTCGGAAGTTAGCACCATTATGTTATAGACCAGAATCACATTCACGTAGGCAAATATTGACCTAAATCGGTTGTAGAACAATGAACTGATCGAGATTAAGTATTAAATATTTGATTCGGATATTTGTTAGATTTCTGCTATATAATATTTAACGCGTCATTTTGAAGTTACGTCATCACTCTTAATCTAGATGAACGGGTTATCTATATATTATCTATTCTATCTACCTACTAAAGTGATTAATTCTTGAACTCATATCAGTACAATAAAAGTCTGTTCTGTAACAACTATTTCTCAAAGATACACACAAAATCGTCTTTGTGCCGTTTTTTATAAATCTACTGACCAAACATTTAACTAAAATCAATCACCTGTAAATGTTATCAGTGAATATCCTCAACCCGGTACTGAAAATCGAATCTAAGATGTAATATGTTATATCACGTCACCACTGAACTATACCTGCAAATATTTTGGTAGGTAATTGTACGTATATCACAGGCAGGCGTAGAAGTCAAACGAGGAATAAGAGCAATAAGTAATCTTTTATTCTGTTAAACAACAAACTTATGAATTAACAAATAACATTTTTTTTGTGTAGAGTGGTCCATTGTAATTCAGTCAGAACATCTTCACATACTCACTAGGAAAAATTTACCTTAGCATAAATTGGGTCAGTCACTCAAATTTCTTTTGTAAATTTTGACCAGCATTTTTTGCCTCAGTAACTCGGCCAGAAACATTACACAATTTTGATTATCAGGCAGTTTAACTTGCCTGCAATATTTGACGCTTAGAAAATATTACACAGCAATTTTTCAACTGTTTTTTTCTTTTATGTGTGCTTTGGTCTTTACTCGTTGGATTACCAGTACAGCCTTTTCTATTTTACTCGAATTCATAGATGCATAACAAAATCATTGTACTTCAGATAATTAAAATACAACTAGATTCAATCGTCTATTTTTCCTCTTCCGAATGAAGACATGTTATAAATACATCGATGGTCAAATAAATATTGATGATTGATAAATATCAGAATATGGCTTATCAAATGCGATATTTTAAAAGCTATATTTCCGATTGTAATGATGTCATTTTTTTTTTGTTTGTGGATGACGATAGAATTTTAGTCAAGTTTCAGATATGTTTATATATCTTTTCTAAGAAAAATAGAACGTTCATATTTCTTTGTTAAAAAAAATAAAAATTGATATTTAGTTTTGATTTCAGTCTGAAAATGAAACCAAGCGGAAATGATTAACTTTGATCATTTTCAAAATAATTATTGGACTTAACAGATTTTAAAATAGCTCACTCGCCATCGAATCTTTATTATATTAATTAATGTCTCTTAATAAAATACAGTATTTGCCAGTCTGTTTCGATTTCTGTTAATGAGTATATTTTATTTTATTTTATAATTTACTGCAGTACAATAATAATGTCATAACTTAAAATTTTTGAGGGATGGCAAATATTATTAAAATACTTTAACTTGAAGAATAAAACAATTTCTTCTCTAATTAGCAACTTAATAATAATAGTGTAGGGTCTGCACTCGCGCACACTCCGGTACTAATGATCCGCTTTTTGTATTAGTTTTTGTTGAAAAGAAAATCATATAAGCGAGAGAAAAAAACAGAAAAGATTACTGTTGTATTTTTAAAACCATTTCAGATAATATCAAATCTATGTGCTACAAATTTATTTATTTAGAACAATTCTATTGTTATTTTTTTATGTCAGTTATTTGTTGAGTCAAACGTATTGACATTATTATAAGGATTCGATTTTTATTTGTAGAAGTGTATCTATAATACAGTACAGAAAACACATTGTCGCGAGATTTTTATCAGAATAATATGACATCTTAATTTTATAAAGGAATAATTTACTTACTTTTATATAAAAATATTCCTTTTTTAAACGTATCATAATTTCATGGTTATTGTTATTTTATACAAAATTATTAATTATTATTGATGCCACACAATGCAGTAGATTTGGCCAGCTTGTATTGCCTTAGACAATGGATAATGACTGTTATTCTTGGCCATTTCCACCCTAAAAGAACTTCCTATTACTACAACAATTAATAAAAATAGAAGTAACCCAATTTACAAAACAAAAAACGTAAGCTCCTAAAATTTTCTTACTCCATGATTTGTGGTATTCTTTAATATTGTTTTCTTTTCAATCGTTAGCATTTACATACATTATTAAAATGTTTTTCCTCTAAATTTTGAAGCTGTTTATTAAAAAATTATTTTAACCCTAGGCATCGCTTGATTAGAAAGGATTAGAATAAACAATAAAACTAACATTCAACTTTAAATGTAATTGGAGATTGGTTAATTACAAAGTAGTCTCCCCTCGATTAGGCTATGAATATGAAGCGACTAAACATAAAGCTTAAAGGCTGTCCTAGGCGGCTTTTAAGTGATTGAAAAATAAATTACTGAAGTTGACATTTTCCTTAAATGGGATATAGTAAAGTAAAAGAATGAACACGTGTCCATACAATTTGTTTGTGTCTTGTATTTTATCCACTTTCCGAAGGCAGCATATTTCAGAGCATATATTGAGAAAGGAACTTGTTCTAAATGACTAGTAAAGCCGGCACATTGACAATCACGATTGTTCTTAAGTTTGGATTTTTTAACAAGTAGAAAACAGACCACTGACCCTTTACCTTAGATTTTATCAAGTTATTAATATTGAATCCG